GAATAAGAGTTCACAGTAATGGTGAATTAGTCTTGACTACTTACCTTCAAGAAGAGAGCAATTTGGGGTACTACAGTATTATCTAACTAGTTTGTGAGAGCATTAGGTTTATCTGGAAATTTACTGAAAGAAAAAGTTGAATCTATTGGGCCATGTATTTCATATATTTTTACCATCTGACTTTTTAAATATGTTTATGCTTATATTTAAATGGTATCTCCATATTTATACTAATTTTCCAAACAAGATCTATGTATTCTAGAACTCTGCCATACAAAGTGTTATCAGACCTACAGAAGACATGGTGTAGGGACTTGTGGGAATGCAGAATCTCAGGCCCTGTGCTTGATTTCCAAAGTCAGAGTCTGCATTTTTACAAGCTCCCCAAACTTCTGCACATTAAAGATTGAGACAACCCACTCTAGAAGACATTATTGGATAGATTATCAATACAGTATTTCCTCTGTGTGTGCATGTATTAATGTGAGTGTATATATGTATATGAATGATTATGTGTGTAAATATATATGATTATTTCTCAAAAATGGACTTAAAAGGACTATGAAATTGGTTCTGTTTCAGCCAAATGCTCCCTCACTCCCCCACCACCTCAAGCTCCACGTGCTTTTGCTCAGAGTTTGCTCAGAGCTTTGGGATGTTTTCCTTAGATCTTAAGATGAACTCTTGGCTTGTTTTGACTGTCTTTTGGTAAGAGAAATGGAAGACTAGGAAGTAATGGTAGTAGTAAAGTCTGTTTTTTAAAATGGAGAAATGTTTCAGAGGTAGTTATAAAAGTCAGTGTAAGAGTGTGTTTTAAATAGCATTGGTTGATCCTGACAAGCATATCACCTTTCTGATCTTTTTTTTTTTTTACTTTTCTTCTGACGACTTTATAACAATTGAACGAAATCTTTCTAACTTACAATTAGCATTTTTCAATTAATTCAGGCATGCTAATTTTTATATTGATTGCATAAACTTGCATGTTTAAATTTGAGATATGTTAATTCGGTGGATATCAGTTAAAATACAGCAAATTAATTTGTGCAACCTACTGTGACTATTTTCAAGTCCAAAATTTAGTAACTGTCCTGAAAATCACAACCCTTCAAGAAACTTTCTTGGATTATCCTATTCTAATCACCTTCGAACACTTAGGTAATGGAAGATTTCCTATAAAGTTCCTCATAGGTATTTTTTCTAATGTTTTCTTTGCATACTGGCAAGAGCTTTCAGGTACTTTCCCTATTGTTGCCTTTGACCGCATGAACAGAATGAAGTCACCAATGTTTTAATCTTTCTCTAACTGTAAAATGATAAGCGCCAAAGAATTTTGCAGCTCTAAACATGATTTTTTGGGGTGGGATTCCCAGTCCTTTGGCTTTTCCATTAACTGGAAAAATCTTTTTGTTGTTGTTGTTGATTCTCTCCTTTTCTGAAATTTTCATTTCTCTTGCCATCTCCAACTCATTCTCTCTTTACCTTTCTTTTATAACATTTACTCCTACTCAATTAATTCTGATAATTACACATCCTCCATCTCCCTTCTGAATATTTTATTTAACAGAACTGATTCTCCCCTGCTGTTTATGACCTTTCTGGACAATTTCATCTATTCCAGTCGATTAAGCTACTACCAATTCACTAATGATTGTTTAACTTTCAGTGTCTAACCTGCCCTCCCTTCTGGGCTTATCTTCTAACTATTGGCTTGAATATCTATACTTGCATCTTGCCATGTCCTACATAGAAGCCATTATTTCCCCACCTTTTCTCCATACCCCAAATTTGGTCCACTAAATTCCTTGTCAATTATTTGCATCACTGGCCAGCCAAGCACATGAGAGAAAACTTGCAAGCCTCTCCCATTTTTTAACACTCTCATTACCCCTTGCTCTTTCCTTTTCTAGGCATGCCTTCTCCTCTAAGCTCACCTTCTTGAAAGAGTAGTATATTTATCTTTCTACTTCCTCACTTTCCATTTACTCCTTTAGCTCAATGCTTATGTGGAGCCCAATTACTCCTCCAGAACTGCTACCCCCCAAGTCATCAAAACGTTCGGCTGTCAAATCCAACTGTCACTCTTCAGTCAATATTTTATTGAATATTTCTCTTGCATGCACTGCTGACCATGAATTCTTTGTGAAACCCTTAAAAATTTTAATAATATGTTCATCTTTTCTAGCTCTTTGTTCTTCTCTATTTCTGCCTGTCCTTTAAGTATTGGCATATGCTAGGGTTTCATCCTTGTCCAACTCATCTTTCTGCCAACATTTTGCTTATGTGGATGAACCTACTTATTTTTTTTTTAATAGTAATTATTTGCAAAGGAAATTATTCCCAAAGGAAGAACTCCAGTGAAGGTCTTTGTCTCCTAGTAGTTCATCTATCCTTGGCTTTCCCTTGGGCCACTTCATATAGATACACCTAAAATAGAAATTGTTGTATCTCATGCCCATCTTTGCTTTTGCATTCCTGACTACCTCCTCACTCAAGCCAGAGATTGAAAGGCCTCCTAGACACTTCCATCCATTTCTTGTACTCAATCTATTATGAAGTTTTGCCAATTTCCCCCACTTGTATTTGTGTGACTGGTGTTCTACTGTCCCTGCTCAGCATCATACCATCTAGATCTCTCTTCTAGATCAAGATAAAAGATGTTTGGAATGCTTTTAATGTGTCAAGCACTAGGGCTTGGACTTTATCTGTACCATCCCAAATCTTATCTAATCCTTACAACATCCCTATCAGGGAGGATCTGTTATTATTAGAATTTTATGAAGAGTAATAGAACAAGGGCAGTCACCTAGGTTAGTCTGATTCAAGAGCCTCTCTCCTATCTCCACATGATATTGGCTATTCTATTGCAAAGGGATCTTAATTGGTCTCTTGGCTCCTAATTGGTGTTTTTGCTTCCATTTTACTCTCCCCACTTAAATATGTCAAAATGATCTTTTTATTTTTATATTTTATTTTTTAAGATTTATTTATTTGTTTTAGAGAGAGGGAGAGAGAGAGCAAGAGTGAGTGTGAGCACGGGGCAGGGAGGGGAGCAAAGGGAGAGGGAGAGAGAGAATCTCAAGCTGACTCCCTGCTGAAAGCATAGCCTGATGTGGGGCTTGATTTCAGGTCCCTGAGATCATGACTTGAACTGAAATCAAGAGTCAGAGGCTTAACCGACTGAACCACCCAGTCGCCCTGCAAAATGATCTTTTTAAAATGCAAATTGAATAAGTCTCTCTTCTGTCCCACATCACCTTCAAGTCCAAGCTCCTTAGAAGAGTTCACAAAATTCTTTATGACCTTGCTCTTTCCTATCCCTTCTGTCCTCTCTTTTTCATGCCCCCTCACCTCACCTCAAAATCTATGCTCCAGTAATATAGGTATTTATCATTTCCTCCAGAAAGGGTGCTTTTCAAATATATTCTCTCTTCTCAGAACTCTTCTCTTTAAAACAAATCTTTCCTTGTGTTACTCAATTGCCAACTATTCCTTTACAGGAATATCCTTTAACCCCTAACTAGAATTACCCCCCACTCCCACCCCATATTATAAAATACTCTACCTCTATCTAACACTTGCCACAATGTGATTCTAAATTATTTTAAAGGACAGAAACAAGGTCTTCTTCATGTTTTTACCCTCAGTGTCTAGCACATGAGCAGGTACATGTTAGACACTCACATTCTGTTAAATTGAAATATTAGGTGAACTAAATATTGCAGATGTCAGGCATCTCCCTCTTCCTCAAACCCCAAATCCAGATTTTCTTTGGGGAATAGTGTTTGTTTCACTTCGCACATGTACTTTAATTTCATCTTGTATTTTCCTTCTTTTTGCTAGATTGTAGTTCGGCTCCATATTACTTTAGTTTTACTTTTAAAATTGCCTCAAATCTCACCATTCTGTTTCTGATTTTCCCTCTTCACACTCAGCAGTCGTTCTCAAATGTTGGGATCACCACAGGATCACCTGAGGAGCTCATCAAATTGCAGGTTCCTGGGTTCCAACCTCAGAGGTTTAGTTAAGTAAATCTGTGGTGGGAAGAAGGGATATGCACTTTTGGTAAGTATTTCAGATTGTGGAAACTCTTTACTTATTGTTCGATGTCTCTTGACTTAGAGAGTCTATAACTGAGAGATCTTATATTGTTTATATTATATTCCCAGGCCAACAATTGCTTCTTACCCATTTTCACACTACTGTAGTTTCCTTCAAACATGAATGCCTCTTTCCCCAGTGACAGCAGTTAATTGTGAGGAGAGAAGTAGTGTGAGGGGAAGCCAGTGTATGTGGATATCAGCACATTGGCATATTTTTCCAAAATGTTTATAAATTGTCATTTCAAATAAGACTTTATTTTCTTTCAAGTTTCAGAAAAATTTTATCTAACCCTAGAACAATGGAACTGTGCCTTATGGAAAGACTAAAGTTGTGTTGCAACTTTAAAAAAATGCCAGAGTCACCATTATCTGAGTCCTCTGTTCAGTATCTGTCATTATTTTCAATTCTGACAGACTTGGCACTTGAAGACGGTTATACAGCCTCCGGTGACATAATGTGGGAAGAAGTTAGAGATACAAAGTAACAAGGCATACATAGAAAGTGAGCAGGGCCACTCTTCCTCTCACTTCCTCTACCCACCTCCCAACCCCCCACCCCAGCCAACAAGCTAGTCTAGAAGCCCTTAACTTCAATTCATGTGAAAATTGTGTTCTCTCATTAAAAACATAGTGTTTGTGAAATGAATATGTTATTAGCAAGGTCTTTTCAAACCCTTATTTAGATTCCACAACTTAGTGCTCTAAAATTGATCACTGATTTTAAAGTTGCCAACCTATCTTAACTTTCTGGAGTTGTGCAAGGAATGAGAGTCTTGTTTTCTGTTTAGAATAGGAAAAGATAGATGAGCAGGAGGATATTTGAGTAATCAATTTCGGGGGGATATTTTAAAGATAAGTGAAGATAGTTCTCAAAATATAAATCACAAAATTATTCAGCTGAAATAGATTGCTATTATATTGTCCAACAAGGGAACTGGAAATAAGAGAAATCATTTCTAGGCATGGTGTAAAGTGAGAAAGTGCTAGGACACTTTATTTAGCCATTGGATTTGGAATGTTAAAGAAGAACAGTATCCAACTATTATCAGATTGGAAGTGGCTGAAAAGCTGAATGCCGAGCTGTGAATTATGCCATGTTTATCTCATAGAACCCAGAGATCTTAACATAGATGGTGAGAGAGAGGGGTAGTGATGTGTTGTCAAAAACTTCAGGTTTGATTTGTATTATACCCACAGCACAGAAAATAGTGAATGCTGACCAGCAGCTATTCCTGGGGCTGGGTTTGTTCACTTCCTTAGCATGGTAAAGGTTACTCCCGGTTTGGAAAACTAAAGTACACCAAATGTACACTGAAATCCCTGTGCCAAATCTATTTGAAAGCCCAGATACCATTTGGTACAGGACTGAAAAGACTTTCTGATCTGGGGTTTGTGTTAGTGTCCTTCTGCACCACAAAGGGCTCATAAGAGTTATGATTTCATTGAATGTAGTAAAGGAATAATCCTAATTTTCCTTTGAATTATACAATCATCTTTTTTTTTTTTTTTTTTTAACGAAAGGCTCCTGTTCTTATAATACAAACATCTTCTGGCATTTCGCTTTCTTTTTCACTCACACTGCCATATGACACTCCTATCAGGGTTTCTGGTTTCTTCAGGGAATTAACCTACAGAGCATGTACAGCAAACAATAAAATAGCTGCTTTTCAATGAAAATAAAGAGCGGGTGTTTTTCCCTCCCTTCCACTGCTCTCTACCACTGCCCCATCACGACTTCTGGATTTCCTGCCTATGGGCGGCGCACCCCCCCATCTCACCCCTTGCTCCCCAGCTCTGTGTTTCAGAGCAGTCTGCGAGTCTCCAAGTCTCCGCGTGCTGTTCCTTCCTCTGCCTCGCTCACTTCCGACGGCACTAGGACCCAGGGAAGTCCTTGAGCGAGGTTCGAGGAAAGGCAGCCAGACTCCTCCTTATCTCCAGTGTCAAACTTGACATCAGCCTGCGAGCGGAGCATGGTAACTTCTCCAGCAATCAGAGCGCTCCCCCTCACATCAGTGGCATGCTTCATGGAGATATGCTCCTCTCACTGCCCTCTGCACCAGCAACATGGATTGTCACCTCTCCATCCTCCTCCTTCTCAGCTGCTCCCTTCTCAACTGCTTCGGGGAACTGATTCTCCAACCTTCCAATGAAGGTAAGCCAGGTACAGCAAACTGCCCTGCCCCACAGGGCTAACGCTCTTCAAAGCACGTTCTCCCGGAACCTTTTCAGGTCGTTAAGGTGCCTCAGAATAAAGCAGTTTCCTCTGAGAGTAAACTACAGATGTGCTTTTATTTTCTGCTGTCTTCTAAAAGACTTTAGGAGAGAATTTTGGATTGCCTAAACCTAAAATGTGGTTTTAATCTGATACCAATTCAAGCAATTACCTTGTTTGCCAATTTTAAGCAGAAAGAAAGAAAGAAAGAAAGAAAGAAAGAAAGAAGAAAGAAAGAAAGAAAAGAAAGAGAAAAATCCTCCAGTTTTACAGCCCACGATGTTAATTGCCAAATAGCCATGGCAGTATTTTATTTCTAATTATGACCATGTAGTACTCTGAGAAGTTTAAAAGAAAATTAAACCCTCCTTGCTAGGTTCTTTAGTATGTTTAAAGGTAATGACAGGTTGCTCCTACTTAGGATCATGGCATTTATGAATGGACTAAAGGGAAATCAGAGTTTGTTGAAGCTGATGGTGTGTGTGTGTGTGTGTGTGTGTGTTTATATTGCAACTGCTGTATTGAAGTGATGTGTATCCTGCCAGGCGATGGTTTGCTCTATGCTACAGGTTCTAATGAGCAGCATATGCCACATTAACATAAGTGATATTTGTAGGAATTGCAATAAGCTTAGGTTGGATTCTCTTTGTTTAAGGGTTTATATATGAGTAAGGGAAAGTATTTGATGGAAAGTGAAAAGCTCCTGGGTAGGTATAGTAAATAACTGAATAACAAATTAAGAAAGAATGTCCATATGCAGCAAATGGCATTTCCTGATGTTGGGTTATTTATTTTCCTCCTAATGGGTATTCATCCCTTTTCAGTGGATTAAAGTGCAAATGTAAAATTGAGAACACTAATGTTTCCTATAAGATTGTGTATTTGATGGATACATTGCTTTTTTCATGTATACCTTTTGTGATCTATTCCTAATGATTTGTGAATACAATCACTGACTCTTAAGACAAAGTTCTCTAAATAACTGATTGTTTTAAAGCAACATTTACAACTTTGATTTCCTCTTAATCATTTTGAACTTATGACAATAACATTTAGCAATTTATTTTGCAATTTAGCAATACTGAGCAAGATGTGAAAATGCTTCATTATGTATTTTGTCACTAAAAATATATTGGCAAGCCAATACTGTTGTATATTGTATGCATTATTTCAAAAAGACAAGTAAATACTCAAAATATGTAGAAACTTTTTAATTAAATCTAAAAACTGCTTATATTGGTGACCTACTTTCACTGCTAATAGAGCAGTTTAATTTTGTTCTTTCCTTAGTGACTGCCTTTATCAATTTGGCAGATTTCATTAAGTTTTTCTGTCTTTTTTTAACTGGGAAAGTGAAAATTCTAAAATATAAGGATCAAGAAAATCATCTGATCACCTATAAGTGACTTTTTTTTGTAGAAATCAAATTAAAATCTTTATTTGAAAGTAATGGTCAATCATTTTTCATTGAAAGGCAAGAGTAATCATTTGTATAATGAGTAACATATCAGTAAGCAAAAATTAGTGTTTGTTTAATCTTATTTTTTGAAGATATTAAAGAATTGACAATAACTAGAAGTCTAGAAATATTATTCCCGTATTGCTATGATAAATTGTATTTCTCCAGATGGAATATTTATAAACTATTTAGATAATGGATTTTACTGAATTAATAATGCACAGGGATAGAGCTGAGAGAGTCAGTATTTTTGTGGAAAACATAACCTTTCAGTAAACTGCAAGAGGAAAAAAAAGACCCTTGAAACTTATTCATGCTTACATAAAATTACTGAATATTAATTTAATGAAACAGGAATAATCAAATGTAAATTTCTTTTAAGCCACACCTTGTGTATGTTTCACTATATAATGTATATATTATTATGCAGGCAGGGATGTATATAGAAAGGGAAATATATGCCGAAAACTGACACAATTACATTTAATTTGCTTGGATAAAAGTTTATTCATTGTTCATGGGATTATTCTTTCCAGATCATGTCCTATGAGTAGTGTTTCCTTTCCCTCCTGAGGTCATGAAGGGAAGCTTTGGAACAAAATGATTTAACTTGAGTAATATTTGAGTGAAATTTTAAATATTAATGCAATAGCTTAGGTCTTAAAAGTTGAGTTGAACAACATGAAAAGTGAAAAATCCAAGTATGTGCCAAGATTTCCATGAAATTCTTCTAACAATGTCATTTGAATAGAAAGCAAGATGCTTCTGAAAATTCATATATTTGGTGGAAGTAATAATGATAAAATGAATCTGATTAATATAGCTTTCTGATATAAATTTTGAGAACTGAGATATAAAATACTAGGTTGCATTTAAAATATTATGCTAAAAATTATATTTCAACACCAAAGAAAATTTACTAGAAATCTACTAGTAAAATTTATTAGAATTTATTTCACAATCTGTTATGAAGTTAGGCATGATAGAATTAAAAGGGAACAAAACCAAGCCATTGAGTTAATTGCTTTCCCTTGTGTGATTTTTTTTTAATTTGAGATTTGATAGTCAAATATCTATTAAAATGCCATGGGCCTATGATTAAAAAGTTAAAAAAATACTTAGAAAAAGTTTCATCTGAACTTTCCTCTTATTAATACAGTTACAAATAACTTTTTGATATGCTTTCAAGAAAATGATTCTAGTTGATACTTTCTATCACTGGCCTCCTCAACGATCATAGATTATTCATAATTTCAATGACTGCTTAAACTAACAATTGGCCTATCTACTTAAATAGAAACTTTATTAAAGCTGCATGGAACTTTGTTAAAATCTTATCAGGTCTCTGTTTATATGACACACCAATAAAAGACTTCCAATAGGAAATCAACTACTCATGGCAAAATAGGATTGCTACACTACGTGTTATTTAAGAAGTTCATATATTTGCTCCCTGTTCTGATCCCAAATGGATGATAATAACGGTAAAGAAAAATAACTTTGCAAAGAGGTAAAAACTTGCTATAAAGTGAAGTATCAATCTCTTTAGCAATAGATAAGTTACTCTCTTTTAATACTTTTCTACATTTGAAGGAGTCTGAAGCAGAATGAACTGCTTATTCATCAGTACATAAGCACTGAATCATTTTTCTATCCAAAAGCCTTTGTAAATTAGATTAACATTTACCCATAGAGCTCTTTACATTGGAAATCAGAGTTTTCAAAATAAAAGTAAATAAAATTAAATCTGCATATTTATATACTACTTATTTTGGGAGACTTTTATTGGAGTGGCTGGGACACTGTATCTATGAAATGTATTTTACTGAACATAAATCTTCTAAGTACTAGAGGTGACTCTGTGACTGTTCAAAGCTTAAAAGTAAAATTTGCAAATGAACACTGTATACTTCCCTTTGACTATTAAGCAAATGTTGGAGATAAACATTTAAACAATGGATTATTCCCTTTTTAAAAATTACTATAAATTAGCATCTCTTTTCATATATAAACACTTATCCTCAAATAATAATACATTGTGATTGAAATATTTATGGAGACTAAGCTGTCATATCTTTATAGGTTTTTTTTTTAAGAGGTTTTACATTTGCTTTTAATAGCATTTCATCACGCTAGACTAAATAATTGAATGCATTATACATTTTTGTAATTTAATAGCTCCCCTAATAGCTCCTCCCAACCCCCAATAGTTATAACTATGCTATTTGCCTGGAGGTAGGAGAAACCTTAATTTCACTATTTTATAACCCACAACAGTTAACACTTGACCTAGGTCATTAACAGGATTATCAGCAAATTTGTTTAAGCTTTTACTGACAACCTGAATTGCTACGATAATATTTTGATTGTGCCGGAAAGAAACTTTTAGTAACCTCTCAAAATCTATCACGAAATTAATTCATTCTGAATCTATATTTTCTCAATGACTAATATTGATAATAATAATTCAAGTGGGAAAAATGTCCATTCTCCTCCCTCTTATGTTTCATCTATTACACCATTCTAGTCCTTGTCATAAATGAGCAATTAAAAATTCTTTTAAATAATAAGTATTGTGGCAATAACAATAGATTTATAAATACAAACCAGCTATCAATTCTTCAATTTTATACTTTTTTATTATTGGTACTCTAGTTGATATCACTTTTCTGCCTATTTTAAGATTTAGGGTCAATTGGATATATTTATAACTCAGAAACAACTGGAACTATAAAAGGGAAACTACATATAATAAAACACCATTGCCACGTGTTACATCATGGCTGCATTTTATATAAAGTTGTCTTTTCCATGAAACGCTAGAAATTGGGAGCAAAAATGAAAAGCACTTAAAATTAATGTAAAAATTTTAAACAAAATATTGTAAACAATCAAAACTTGAAGGCATTTTTTTAAACATTGTTTAGTGAGTTTAGGAAATTTCGTGTGAAGTTTCTTAATTAATTGAATATAATTATGGTTTGCACCTTGCTCATATAAACAAATGAGTAGTTTTACCTTGAGTCTTAAGAAACTTATTATTGTTAAAGAAAAGATTTAGTAAAATTCTTTATCGTGTTTATATATTATCCACATGTCAATATTCAAATTTTGGTGTGTTTTTTAACACCCTCACTTCTATTAGCTTCTCACAGTAAGTTTCTTTATAAAGTACCCTAAATGTTAAAACTGTTTCTGAAGCTTTGGAATTTTTCTGAAATAAAATATATGCAATTTTTAAATATCAAATAATCAGTTACATATGCAAAGGATTTTTAAAGGCAAAACATATTTCCACAGTATATTTGATTTACTAACTTCAACGCAAATGGAAAGAGCAAGGACTGTGTTTGAGAGTTACATTTTCCAAGTCATAAAATCTTCAAGAAAATATTAATAAAACTTTCCACAAATCATCAAAACTCGATAAGTTTTTATAGACACTTACTTACTAAGAAATCTGTGATGTGGGTTACCTTTG